CTTTGGCGAAGTATTTCGACTCCGTTGATCTCTTATCGTCCGATTTGTCGCCGGAGGTAATTAGATACAATCCTCTCGGTTATTTATTTATTTTTCTAGGTCAGACGAATTTGGGGAATCGCATTTCGCAGTTGGAAACTTGAAATTAGTTGTTGCAAAACCCTAGATTTGAGTTTTTTTCCATGTCAATTTGGTCTCTTTAAGCTTAATCTTTGGTTAGTTTTCTTGTTGATGTTTAAGCTTAAGCTCAAAGCAAGGATCTTTCTTCTGTTTCTTGGTGGTGTGTTTTAGTTGACTATGGAGATGGTTGGTACTGAGTTCTGGAACAATTCGAAGTTGTATTCTATTAGCAAATCCAAAGACTTTATTCCAATGAGTATCTTCTCTGAAGCAAATCAAGGTTTGTGTTGTGATCTTTGCTTTGGTTTTTATGTATTCATAGACCAGAATATTGCATCACTTGATGATACCTCTGCTAAACATCGTATCAGGTAAAGTCGCTGTGGAAGGAACGGTAACAAATAAACTCGATATGATACCGCATTGTGGCATTGAAGAATACGGAAAGCTTTGTCGTTTGAGCAACAGGAAAGATAGGCAGATACAGGTATTGTTTTTAGCACCCATCTAAGTTGTTCAAGTTCATAGTCTTGCTCTTACCATAAAAGGCTAATTAGATAAACCTCTCTTTCTATGAAATCACCCTAAAAGGTTCTTGAGAATTGCCGTGGAGAGTACTTGACACCGAAGCCTGTAATGGTAATGTTTTGTTCTCTTCTCTTTGATTTCTGGAGAATTGGTTCTGTTTATGTGATAGTTCATTCTAACTACTGATATGTAGTTCTTTGACTGATGAAATTGTTCCTCCATGAAACAGGTAGAAAAGAGGAAGAAGCTTAAGCACTGTGTAAAGAGGACTAGAGGCGATCGTAGTGAGGTGGAAGCAAAAATGTTCCAACTATTTGAAAGACAACCGAAATGGACACTGAAACAGCTTTTACGAGAAACAAACCAACCGATGGTATGCTCTCTTCTTAAGACTTAAATTCAGAAACAGCAGAAGAATCTAGCATTTACATGTGTAGTAATCTAAACCTAATTTCACTATTTTGATTGAAAATTTGTTTACTTTTTCAGCAATTCTTGAGAGAAATACTCAAAGAGCTTTGTGTGTACAATGCAAGGAGCCGTACTCACGAGCTTAAACCAGAATACAAGTATCCTGGTGAAGAAGGCACAGCATTTGCTCAGTAAAGAGGCCTCATCAGAAAAAAATTTGTATAGAAAAACAGAACAAAAGAAAGTAGTAAAAATTGGAACTTTTCCTTTCGAACAGATAAAAATTGAAAACTTTGGATCTATAACGAAAAAAGGTATCTTTCATGAGGTATTTTTTTCCGTAACATACACACACTTCCAAACATTTCATTATAAAACTTACAATTTAGAAACAAAGTAAATATATACATAAAAACAATGAATTTACCAATAATATCAAGAAATATTTGATCTAATTCGCCATCATGACACTGTTACGATTCTCTTTGTGAAGCCTACAGAAATAAGCTGCGGCGCTTAAGACGGCAGTGATCAAGGCAACACCTTTGAAGACATCAAACTCATCTTCCATGGAACTGAAGAAGATCACCACAAGAACCGACACAATCGGCCATGTAATGACGCTGATGACATTCGACAACACGCTCGAGACGGAGAACACAAGTCCCACGATCCCAACCCAATAGATCTGCCACGAAACGGCTTGACCCACCATAACCATAACGTACGAACCTTTCCCTTTTGAAAAACCATTCATTTCCCTCTTCAAATCGTCTTGCTCGCCGGTGATTAGCAGACCCACGACGGAGAGTAATGTAGCGAAGAGGGAAGAGAAGATCAAGACTTCGAAAACAGACGCAAAGCTCGGGTTTTTAATGGTCGATTCGTTGCGTTTCAATACGCTTTGGATAATACAGAGGAGGAGAGAGAAGTAAACGCCGGAGAACAGAGCAGCCGTTGCGCCTTTTGCGTAACTCTCAACCGCTTCGCCGGAGAATGAGGAGGAGAAAGTGAGAGCTCCCGTGGCGATTGCAAAGATGAATGAGATTACGATCCATCGATTGAATTTGATTTTGTTGATGAAGAATGCGAAAATCAATGTGGAGAAGAGCTGAGTTGTGTAGATCAGAGTGAGCTTTGCCTTGCTGAAGAATCTTCCTTGACCGGCCAAGAGGGATCCGAGGCAACCGGACAAAGAGATTATGTATCTTATTGAGGATCGGTCGGAAGTGGTCGGAGGTTGTTGTTGGTTGTGTTTCTTGAAGATGAAGAAAGGGAGGACAAGGAGAGGGAAACCAACTGTTTGGTGGAGAGACCGAGTCCAAACGCCGTCGTTTTGATGAGGGTTGTACAAGATTTCGAGGAGTTTGGTCATGGATTGACCTGTGATGACAAAGATAACGCAGAGGATAATCGTTGGCCAATGGTTTGGTATACTGTTTGAGTTTCCGGTTTGGTTGATAAGTGTGGTTGAATCACGGTCGATGTAAATTGGTATATGCGCACCTGTTTCTTGCAAGATTGAGAACATAAAAACAAGAACTGAGAATCGAATAGATCAAATCACTAAGAGTATGTTTGGCTAAAAATCACCTTGTGGCTTGGTTTGAACTGGCTGATGATTCTTGGCCATGTTTCAGATATATGTGACTGAACTTGGAACTGATGTCGGAGATTGTAAATAATTCGACTTGAAATTCAGAGATTCGATATGTTTGGATAAATATTTGGGAAAATCTAATGTGTGGTGGTGTTTATTGTATACAAAGAGAGGTCATGTTCAATCTTGGACCGTTCGCAATAATTTTTTTCGTGGGGTTTTGCTAGATAGAGAGACCATTTCATAATCGTTATCACATCAATGCCGTCTACCATGACAATAAATATCTTCACTAATTGTGAAGAAATGGGTCCGAGCCAAACACAAGAGCTAATGGGCTTCGTCAATAAAAGCCCAAGAAGAAACAGAAGCAAAAGAAGAGCTGAGCCTGGTGAATTGTTTCTTGTCCAAAAACGTGGAGGTCTATAAATACATCAAAAACGAGAGAGGGTAAGAGGATAAGGTTTCATAACAAACTCTTTCTTCTTCCTCAAGCTTTTTTCTCTCGATTCCTCCATTCTTGACACGGGCGGCGGAGAGACACGGGCGGCGGAGATTCATTCTTGACAAGAGATGCATTTCCAACGGTGGTCTCGGGCCTCGTGCCCGAGAGAAAGCCAATTTAAAGTTTTTTTTTTTGTACCCGCGAAAAAATCGATAATTTCGTAAAATATAATTTGTTTTTGCAAGAGAGTTTTCAAATTGCAAAGTTAATTGTCCGAGATTTTTTTGTCATTCTTCTTGTTAACAATTAATTCAGCATAGACTATAGCCACTCCTTTACAAACATGATTGGTAAGACAAGAGTCGAATTAAACAAAATGAAGAGATAAAATTTGCAAATTTAAACATAAACTCAAAAATACATGTGTTACAAATTAAAATCCAACTAAAATGTATTTTAAAATGTTATATAACATAATATTTTAACAATGAATCATTAATCGATATCAATTATTTTATAAAAATTGTATTAATGTCCATTTAGATACCATATGTTGTTGATAATACAA